GCTAATGGAAGGATGGTTTAGAACTTGTTAGAATTAAAAAACACCAAGTAAAGAAAGGTAAAGAGAAGTGAACAATGCAAGAGTATCTATACTATTTCGACCGTTCGACCTATATCCACTACCTTGATATCCCAATCAAAGATTTTCAACCCAACTTCACTATACTAGTGGAATTGACAGCTTCCACCAAGCTTTTACAAGGTGAGCTTCTGACCCAAGCTCTAATCCTTTATAATGACTTTTAAAGTGCTTCTCATACTCTAAATTCTCAAGAAAAAAGAAGAAAAAAAAGTACAACTGATCACCTTTAAAGATTTAGAAAGATCACAATCAAACTTAAACAATTTTGCAGAAATAAGAGTGAAGAATAAGTGTTTTTGGTGAAAGTTCTTTGGTCTTTTGCTCAAAACGGCATTTTTGTGCTCCAATATACCTTCTTTGATCATTAGAGTTTCCTTTTATACTTTTCGAGAAAGATTTTGCTGTGCAAGACAGATTCTAGCCATTAAGAATAACATTGATGCCATTATAGTCATTATTTTGTCCTTTGGTGTTTAAATTCAAATGGACAGACAAAGTTTGGCTAACTAGTTACCAACAAGCTTTAACCGATTATAGCTTCTCTGCCTTACATTGTCTTGTAGTTGTGTACAATGTGTTAACTGATTAGAGAAGACTCTAATCGATTAAGAGATATTTGTCTTCAAAGTTCTCTATTTAGCAAACTTCTTTTAGTTGGTTAACTCTCCTTTTAACTAATTAGAACTTCACTTCCTTCAGCCTTAACCAATTAACACACGCTCTAATCAGTTAGAAAATCTTTGAATTTAAATTTCTCTAGTTTAGCTCTCTTTAACAGTCAACCTTCTTTTAAATTTGATTTTGGCACTTGAAAGTACTAGGCCTTTGTGCTCTAACTGATTAATCAAACTCTTTAATCGATTAGCATAACTTTACTTTCAACCCCCAAGCCTCTTTAATTAGTTAAGCCTAGTGCTAACTGACTAAAACTCCCTTGTGTTGCTTTAACCAAGCATCTAGTTATGCTTTAACCAATTAAGGCTCCTTGTTAATCTATTTCTTAAGTTTTGTCTTCACTAATCACTTTGTTATTTCTTTCTTTAATTGATTAACTCTTCTTTAAATTTAGCAAGCATCTTGACTTACTTTTAATTAACAAATTAGTTAGGGGAATTAAATTATATCTTGCACACTTAATAATAAAGTTAGGCATTAATGAATAAGGAATGTTTTGTTATCATAAAAAATATATGGAGCCAACAAAGTTAAGTGCTCATGAGATGCAAACATTCACTGCACATGTCTTGATATTTGGACCATTGGAAAGCTAAGATAAAAAGATACAACTTTCATGTTTACCACTCTGCCCAGTTAGGCCTGGAAGCTGGTCAAAACTTTATTGAAGTTAAAGCACTTAACAATCCTAGAGAGATCATGATTTTGCAAATTAAATGGTCAAGGCTGTGACCTTGGTGGAGGTAGGATGTGGTTCACATAGTTTGATGAGGAAATCCTTATTAGAATTGACTTTTTTTTTCACCCAACTTCAAAGTCTTGTAAAAGCAACTTTTAGAAGGACAATTAAGGGTGTGAAACACTAAATTTAGAGCTAAGAATTAGCCACAAAATCATTGAAAAAAGTCTCATTGAAGTTGAGAAGAAATCAAAGGATTCAAGAAGATTAGGAGATCAACATTGCAATTCTTGAGTTTCTTTATTCATTTTGTATTCTTTTATTTTCTTGGTTTAGTTTTGATATCTAAACTTTATTTCATGATAATGTGTGACATTGTGGGGAACTAATTTAGATATCTAAGATTATGATTGAACTCAATACGTAGTCCGATTTATTTATCTCTCTTTTACTTATGTTTAATAGTTTTAAGTTATTTATTCTATTTTATTCTTAATGCTTCTAATTGCCTGATCACCAATTAAATTGATTTGAAAATCGAGGTTGACCTTGACAAAAGAGATTTAGGTAGACCTAGAATAGAATATCATATGATCAAATGCACATAGTTGATTAGGTGGTTTGATTTGCATATAGGGTAGACAAACACCTATAAGCCATAAATAGCCTAGATTAGAGCATGAACTTAATAAATCTTTCTTCAATTTAATTTGCATAGACATATAATAAGTTAATTGAGAGAGATATTTTTATAAGAAACTTGACAAAAACTTTTAAATAATTTAAGACTTTAAGTTAGCAATTTAGTCCATTAAACAAAGTTAACAGAAAGAGACAATATTCAAATGAAATATTGAGAGATATCATAATCTTAAGGCTGGCAGTTAAGTGAGTTTCATAAAACAAATTTTCTGTTTAGTTTTAGTTTTAATTTTTCTTTATAATAATTTTAAATAATTGTTTGGATAAAATTAGGGTGTGTCAATTTTAGTAGTTAGTAAATATGAATTAAAACAATTCTTCATGGGAGCAATACTTTACTTCATCACTGTACTCCTTGTTTGCGATACATGCAATTGTGTGAAAAATCAACAACAAAAATCAACCTCATTTTAGCTTACCTCAAACTTTAATCGTCATGTTCTAATCATATATCATATACTTCTCCATAATCACTTAATCAATTTCTATAGCATGCTAATCATACATCACATTATCATAGTCAAAGCATAGTCAATGAGTGGTCCTTCTTGAACATAATTAAATCATGTACGATGGCCAATCGACGGAGTCAAATCATTCACAATGTTCAATCAACCAGCAGAGAGTCAAATCACGCTCAGTGTTGAAACAACTAACAAAAAATCAAATCACATTCAGCACCGAAGCCATTAGTGGAGAATTAGATCACGCATGATGATTAAGCAACCAATGAAAAGTCAAATCATGCTTAACATTGAAGCAGCTGGCAAAGAATCAGATCATACTCGAAGCCAAAGCATCCAATGGAGAATAAATCATGCTTAGTGCCAAAGCAACTAACAGAGAATCAAATCATAGGATTAGACCCCTCTTAACTACAAACAGATCAATGTCCAAAATTTTTCATTGTTGGATAAAACACATGTCCACAATCAAAGCCAACATGCCATTGATATCTCATATATACCATTTTACATCAAAAATCATACATTATGAGCCTTAAATAATAGCTAGCTCAATATCATCTCTATGTGCTTTCATTCATCAAAGGTATCAAATACTCATAATCCTCCAAGAGGCTAATTGTCATGAGTAAACTACTCCTAGACATGTATTATAATATCACATCATTCACATAGCTAGATCCCCTTGTCTAGCTTTCTAAACACACACCACTATATGGCTAGCACTGAGACACACATACACATGCATTATTTTAAATAATAAACCACACTAACAATGACAAACGAAGGCTCCTCCATAGCCAAAACCGAGTTTTCTTTGCCTCCAATGGTTCTTCAGCTCAATAATGCTCTAACAACTTCATTTCCCCCCCCCCTGCCCCCGCATCCTTATACAAATCAAAATAAAAATTATTCCTTCGCTTTCGACCATTTCCAGCATTTCAAACTAAGTTTCAAATGCTAAGTTCAAATTTTTGAAATCCTTACCTTTGGTGCTGGGTTACCTAATCTCAACTTCAAATTCCTAGTAAAGTCTAAAAAGAACATCACTAAAGCTACAATAAATGAATTTCAAAGTTATAAACCGGTTAAATCGGAAATCAATTGGTAAAAAGGTTTGATCTTACCTCTATAATGATTTTCCAATCTCAAATCCATTACAAATGAGATCCAAATTTGGTTGGGGCTTCGAGCTTTCAAAAGGGCAAAGAGTAGTTTTTGTTTTCCTTTTATTTTGAAATGAGCGAACAACCCGAAACCCCTTTTTATTTACAATTTTACACTTATCTATCAATAAATGTATGGCACTATCGATGGATCCCACTATTATTTTCGACATTGACCATTTATTTATCGATAGATCTGTTGAGTCTATCGATATATAGTGCATTAGTCCCCTTCACATTTTCCTTGTTTAGTTATTTATCGATAGATTCTGCTGATTTATTGAAAGATTCTTCTCAACTTGCTTGATATTCATCCCGCGTAGCCATCTATTGATAAATTCTACAAATCTATCTATAGTTTCCATCCAACAGGCTTTATTTGATTCTCAAGTTGACATCTATTGATAGTCACATGAATTCTGTCAATAAATGTTCTTCCAATTTTCCTTTCCCGTGTTTCTTATCTTGCATCTATTGATAGATATAGCATATCTATCGATAGATCATGCCCAGATTGCAATTTTCAATTCTCTAAGTATCCAATTCATTTTCATTCACAAAAATACTTCAAATCATTCATATAACTCAAATATAAAATAAAATTTTCGTTCAAACTTCAAACTTTAAGATTCATCAATCATTTTTATAACAATTTGCCTATGTGTCATGGTTTATTCTTTTGTACACTTAGTTTATTCAAAATATCATCAAAATCCTCAATTACATAATAAATTTCAAGGTCATTCTCAATACATATAGGTATGTACTTAAATCTTCAAACATATGCATCCAAATTTTAAATTAACTCCTCACATAGCTTAGTTCACACCACATAGTCCATATCAAAGTCAAGGGTGTTACACATTAGTGGCTTTTCTCTATCATAGGAGCTCAAGGATATGGTCGAAATCTTAGAGGAAAATTTGGCATAAAAGCTGATAAAGATGCTTAGTTATTGTTTTAAGAAAAAATAAGATGATTCCTCCACCATAGATTATATTTATTGGAATAAGGATTAATTTAAGGCTACCTATTTCTAGCATAATAAGTCATTTTGGTGTAACTAGGACAGTAGTCACTAGAATGTCCTTCCGCAGAAAAATCAAAAGTCACAAAAGGGTTCTGAACCGCATTAATTATCAAGAAAATTATCAATTTTCTTGGTGAAAGCAACCAATTGTTAATCAAAACATTAATTGCATCAAGCTTATGGATACTAGCTATTGTTCTTACCCCCAATCTCTTTGATGGCCACTGATAATTGTTGGAAGCTATCTCCTCTAACAAGTCATAAGCCTCATCAATGGATTTACTCATTAGTGCACCTCTAGTTGCAACATCAATTGTTATTCTAATTAGTCCTACTAAACCATTACAAAATGTTTGAATTTGCAGCCATTTAGCTAACCCATGGTGAGGACTTCTCCTTAGCAAATCCTTATAGTTGTCCCAAGCCTTATACAGTGTTTCAAAATCAAGTTGCACAATGGAGGTGATATCATTATACATTTTTGCTATTTTAACTAGTGGAAAAAATTTTGTCAAGAATTTCTAAGGTAAATCATCCCAAGTACTAATATAACTAGATGGAAGTGAATTCAACCAACTCTTTTCTTTGTCTCTCAGTGAAAAAAGGAAAAGACTCAATCTAATGGCATCATCAGAAACACCATTGGTCTTGAACGTATCTCAAATCTTTAGGACATTCATAACATGTGCATTGGGATCATCATTCGGCAATCCCTCAAATTGAACTGAAATTTGAATCATCTGAATTATTGTCAGTTTAATCTCAAAATTGTTAGCTTGGATAGCAAGTCTACGAATGCTAAAATGAAGGCCATGAACAAGAGGTGCAACATATTCTTGCAAGGATTTATTTTCTTGTTTTAGCTACCCTTGAGTTCACTGATCTCATTATTGTTTAGCCATTGCTTCGGATTGAGTTTAAGCTTGTAGATTTTATTTTTGAAGTCTTCAAAGAGTTTTTTCAATTTCTAGATCAAAAAGAACAATTTCCCAACTTCTCACTCTTCACATACAACGACCAAAAGTACCTGAAAACAAAAAAAAAATAGCTTGAATTAAGACTAAGATTACTTGGTATTAATATTAACAAAGAATATTTTGCCTAATGCCCTAACAATTGTGTCAAAAACTTATTGTCGATTTTATTATGGAAGTGCACATATCATAAACAAGTATCATAATGAAAGTGAAGTTTGTTCCCACGGAGAATTGATCAATTCTTTTTGCTAATTATTAAAATTAAAGCAACTTAATCTTATCCAAACAACCTAATTTAAACTACTAAAAATTAAATAAACTAAAATTAAAACTAAATCTGAAAGCAAAAGTAACAATTTAACTAGACTCAAATAACCAAAAGTCTAGAACCATAATATTCTCTCAATGTTTCATCTTAATTTCATATATTCCATCTTTACTTACTAGATAGGCTTGAATTACTAACTTAGAGTCCTAATTTATTTTTAAGTCGTTATTGAGTTTTTTATAAAAATATCTATCTTAACTAATTTACCATATGTCTATGCAAATAGAAATTAAGAAAGATTCCTTAAGAACGAACCCTAATTTTGACAACATATGACATGTAAGTGTATGTCTACCCTACATGCGAATCAAATCAATCATCTCATGCAATTGATATTGACTATATGTTATTTCATCCATGGCTTACTCTAAACTCCCTTTCTCAGCTCCATTTAGGCTTTCAAATCAATCTAATTGGTGGCCAGTCAATTAGGCGCATTAAGAACAATATTGAAATAAACAACTCAAACACTATCAATCATAAGTGAGAAAGAATATTAAAAACTCAGACTACACATTGGGTTTAATCATGAGTCTAAATTAAAAAACTTAATTCAATGTAATATATGTAAACATCATTCAAAAAAAGTATAAACATTAAAACTAAACAAGAAAGTATAAAGAAAACAAAAGAAGAAAAAAACTCTAAGATTTGTCAATCCTTTGATCTGTAATTCCTCGATTGAATTCCTTGCCTTCTTGCTAGCTTTAGTGCCTTTTTTCTTTAGAAACTCTTGCTTAATTCCTTCTAAAACTTGCTTTGAAAGGTTGCTTAAATAGGCTCATGATTGTGTCAAATAGAAGTCCAAGGGCACAAGAAGTCTTTTCCCCGTTTAACCTTTTTCTTTTTTTTTTTTTGCTTTTTCTTTCTGTTCGATGCCGTAACGTTGGCTGATGGTGGCCATGGCACTAAGCATCCTAGAGGTCCTTAAAGCATTGTCTAGCATTGGGGTGTCACGGCACTGGCTTGGTGGAGGCCACAACGCCTAAGGCTTTGTCTTGCTCACCTGGTTCTATTACATTACTTTTATTTTTACATGATTTTTGACCCCTTTTCAAGCTAAACTAGTTGAAGTGTCAACATAATAATTATAGCTCTACCTCTTATCTTTCTAATAGTTCAGTAATCAAGTTAATTGGACTTCTTTAGTGAAAAATATGCTCGAAACACCAACATATGTACAATTGAAGTGTACACCTAAAATGCATCTTTTTCACCAAATAGGCCCTCTTTAGAAAGCACACCTACAAAAACATAAAACTTAACTTAAATAATAACTAAACTTAAAATAAAACATCATAAAATAACTTAACACAATTGAACTCAATATAATTAAATTAAATTAAATATATGGTTAAAATCTCTTAATATATAAATTAAAATATATTAGAAATTAAGATCAAATAACTCTACAGAATAGAGTTATCACAGTTTAGCCTTGAAAAAGGGAAAAATCGTGTCACAAGTTGAAGTAGTCTAGTAGAACCTAGAAATTCAAAATAGAACAAAAAAGGTCGCCACCATGGAAGCAATGAGCATCATGATGCCATGACAAAAGATGCACACTTCAAGCATTCAAAGGAGTCAGTGCTACGGCCACCAAAGAGGTAGCGTTGCGGCACCCAAAAGAAAATACTTTAAAAAATATATATTGAAGTTCAACGTCGCGGTGTGTAAGGAGTGATGGCCATAACGTTTATAAATCAGAAAGGAATTTGAGTGTATTTGGACTACTATTTTGAGACAAATTCAAGCTTTATTTAACCCTTTTTTCAAGAATACATTCAAGCAACAATTAAGTAAGGTTTTTTAAAAGAAAAAGAGGCATTGAAGCTAGCAAGAAAACAAGGAAAATAAGGAAGATTGCAGATCAAAGGCTTGACAAATCTTGGAGTTTTTTCTTCTCTTATTATCTTAATACTTTCTTTGTTTAGTTTTGATGGTTAAATTTTTTTTTGGATGATGTTTCCATTAGATATTCAAAACTAAATTTTTAATCAAGAATCTCAATGGAACCCAATACATAGTTTGAATTTTTAATGTTCTTTCATGCTTACGATTAATAGTGTTTGAGTTTTTTATTTCAATCTTGTTCTTAATACGTCTGATTGCTTGATTACTAATTAGATGAATTTGAAAACCTAAATGGAACTGGATGAGGGAGTTTAGAGTAAGCCGTGGATGATATAGCATATGTTCAATATCAATTACATGAGATGGTTGATTTGATTCGCGTGTAGGGTAAAAATACACTTACATGTCATATGTAGCTATGATTAGAATCTAAGGTTAATGAGTCTTTCTTGATTGCAATTTGCATAGCAATATAGTAAGTTGGTTAAGGATGATATTTTTATAGGAACATAGAAAAAGATTTATAAATATATTAGAACTCTAGGTTAACAACTCATGCCTATCTAGGAAGTAAAGAGAAAGCAGAAAACATTCAAATGAAACATTGAAGGGATATTGTGGTTCTAGACTTTTGGTTGATTGATTCTAGTTAAATTATTATTTTTAATTTCAGTTTTAGTTTTATTTTTAAATTCTTTAATTTTCAATAGCTTTAAATTCAGTTGTTTGGTTAAGATTAAATTACATTAATTTTAGTACTTAGTAAAAAGGTTTAGGCAATTTTTTGTGAGAATGAACTTTACTTTCTATTTTAGTACTTATTAACGATGTGTGCACTTACGTGGTAAATCCAACAACAGTCTCTAGAGTGTCCTGTACTTGTTTAGCATTTTCACACATAGAGACTTTTTTGAAGTCAGTAACACCTAAGGCACAACTGAGGGTGTTATATGCTTTATAATTAGTTTGAATTAATTTCTTATCTTTATCACTCCACTTCTTTCGAGACTAAATCACTAATTTTCATTGTACTTCCTTATATGGAACATAAGGACCATCTAATATAACATTCCACACATCAAGGTCCATAGATTGTATAAACATTTCCATATGTTTCTTCTAATAAAGGTAGTTAGTACCTACAAAGAGAGGTGGTCTTTGGATAGATTGCCCATCACCAAGCACGATTGCCATGACTCCATTTTTGATGATTTAACCTATTACCACATATCACTCAAGATAGTTAGACCTACAAGAATTGAGCCCTTGCTTTGATACCAATTGTCAATGTAGCAAGCTCAATGTAATAAATACCAAGAGGGGGTAAATTAGTATTTTAGAAATTTTTTTTGCAAGTTTCTTGAAAAATAACCCCTTTTTCAAAAAACAATTTTTCTTTTTATGTTAAAAGCCAATTAAGTGATTTTTCTTGAAGTAGATATCAATAATAAATCATAAAATATAAAAATAAAATAAGACACAAGGATTTTTATAGTGGTTTGGCTTTCTCAAATGCCTACATCCACTCCTTTAGCTCACCTAGGAATTTCCAATCCACTAAATGGATTCTTGCTTTTGAATGAGATCAAGTGATAACCTTGACACCGGCTTTTTCACAAGATTAAGCGATAACCCTTACATTAGCTTCTTAACGGGATCAAGCGTTAACCCTTATACTAACTTTTCAAAGCTAAGATAGAATTTTTACAAATGTGTATACAAAGGAGTAATAGCAAAGAATTGCTTCACAAAGGCTGAGTGCTAAAGGATAAAGCTTGGGTGTACAAAGAAAAGAAATCAATCTCACAAAATAAGCTCAAGATAAGTAAGTGTAAAGCTTGGATGGCTTTTGAATGCTTATTGGGAGAATAAGATGAATGCTAGAGAGAAAAAAAGATAAGCTTGACGGCCTCCCTAGGGTTTTTCCACTTTGGTGTTGTCTTCTTTTACTTCAGAATGACTTAAGAGTAGCTTTTGATAGTTGAAATAATATTTAGAGCCATTAGACACAAATTTGAATTAAATCTTACTATTATTGAAGCTTAAGAGTCGACTATAGTGCTCCTAGGGTCAACTATTTTCTTTTAAAATCTTGAGTTAGGGCTTTTATAGTCAAATATAAGCTTCCTTTACTCGATCCACTTCTCAAGAACTTTTCATTTTGAATTATGGCTTTGTGTAGTCGACTATAGATGTTTGAGAGTCGACTATAGCTTCACAAGTCTTAAAATTCTCATGCATACTGCCTCAAGGTTGACTAGAAAATTTATGGGGTCAACTATGGCTTCACATGTCTTGAAAAATTCATGCATTCAGTCTC